CCTCGCAGTGCTTCCACGATGTCTCGAGACCACTTCCGAGCCATCGTCCTCCTCGGGGGTTACATAACTAGGCGCTCGAGGCCCCCGCCCCGAGCGTCTGCAACCCCGGAGGCCCCGTTTCTGGTAGGGGAACACCGTTTTCAAGAGGAGGGCCGTGACGAACGCCTTGGTGACGTCGTCTCCGCGCGGGATCCGTCCTCTCCCGATCCCGCTCAGAAGCCTCCTTTTGAATCATAACAGAAGGTGGCTACGGCCCTCCACGCCGAATCCCCGCTCAGCATCGCCGACACAACTGCTGGCAGGGAGAGGTCCCGTCCGATGCGGTTTACCAGGATTGTCCGTTCCCGTTCCCACGCTGGGCATACTGCTATTTCTACTCCCAACTCGTGGATTTTGGCAACGACGACTTCCACCCCGAGTTCGGCGAGCTCCTTGGCCCTCTCGAAAGTGATCCCGCTGGCGATCACCAATGTCTCGTCAGCATAGCAGACGATATCTACACCAGCAGGAAGATCGATTCGCAGAACCGCATCATAGGCGAGGTTCTACAGTAGCGGCCCCATCACCGAGCCCTGTGGAACCCCACGTTTGATCTCCCTCCGGATCTTCCTGCCATCTTGCCCCATGTACAGAATGTACCTGTCGCGCAAGTAGTCCCCGATAATACCTTGCAGGTAAGGGGGCACCTAATGATGTGCCAGTGCCCTCTTGATTGCATCCCAGGGTAGGGAGTTAATGGCGTTGACGATATCAAGAGTTATCCACGCCAACGCCACGCCACCCTGGGATATTGCTTGTTCCGACAGGGAGCGGACGCGTATAATCACGTCTATAGTGGAACAAACACTCCCGTCGGAACCCAAACTGGCTATCGGCCAAATCGGGACCGACGCGCGACAGATGCCAATTGAGCCGACCGGCAACCATCCTCTCAAATAATTTGCCAATCTCGTCCAACAGGCATATGGGGCGGTACGCAGAGGGAGAATCAGCGGCCCTGCCCTCCTTCTTCAAGAGGACCAGTCTTGCTTCTTTCCAGGCTGTGGGGAACGTGGCACAGCGCAGACACCTGGTAAACAGCTACCTGAGCCTGTCCTCCAGGGCAGCCAGACTCAGCACTAGGGCGGCCCGGGATTCCATCGGGCCCCGGTGCTGTGTTCCGGGCTTTTAAGCGGCTAACAGCTCGGTCCAGTTCTTCGACGGTCACCCCCATCTCATCCTGCCACTCCCATGAAGACGGTAGGTGACCTGAGGGACTTGACCGGTGTTCTGGAAAGAGCGTGCTGATCACCCTTCCCAGCAGATCCGGATCGAGAGTCTTCGTCAAGGGGGGCGACCAAGGCCGGAGCTTACCCAGTACCATCCTGTATGGACGCCCCCAGGGATCCTCGTTGAGTCCCTCCAGAAGCTCTTTCCAGGACTGAGACCTGGCATTGGCTATAGCAATTTGAAGCGCCTTTGTAGCCGCTAGGTATGCCCCGTAGAGTCTGGCTACCTCCTCAGGTGGAGCTCGCCTTCTTCTCCTTCGAGATCTGGTGTACTGGCGCCGACTCCGCAAGCAGAGCGCACGGAGCCGTGCGATTTCTGCCGACCACCAGTACACTGCTGGCATGTAGTCTGACACAACTGGTTACTTCGCATACGCGGATTCCAGATGTGGAGGATCATACACCTTCCCTGTTGGACCTTCTGCTGACCTCTCATCCGGACGGAGGTTAGGAATAGGTTTCCGTCGATGCCCCTCTCGGCTCTTCGGACCATTGTCTGATCCGGAGTGTGGTGCCACTCACGCTCCCCTCGCGGTTGCGTTCTGCAGGTTGCCACCCTGTTTGGCATTACAGGTCGGCGGATTGGGACGGAATGCGCTCTTTCTTTGCATCGCCATCACCTCCTTGTTCTCCAAAATAATGGAATTCATTATTAACTGCCAGCTCATGGCGTACCTTGAGGATCACCAGCTAATTGGTGACCGCCAATACAGTTTTCGTCGGGGTCGATCAGCTGGTGATCTTCTGGTCTACCTGACCCATAGATGGGTGGAGGCAGTAGAGTCCAAGTGATCGTTAGTTTGGACATTGTGAAGGCCTTCGATCGGGTTGACAAACCACTCACTTGGAAGAGAAGGCCAATTTGGCCTCTAAAAAGCTTGGCGTGCTCAGCAGAGCGGGACAGTATTTCATGCCGGCACACCGCCTGCAACTTTACAAGGCCCAGGTTCGGCCTCACAAGGAATACTGTTCCCATCTCTTGGCAGGGGCTCCCCAGTGCCAGCTCCTTCCACTTGACCGCATTCAGCGCAGAGCGGCTCGAATCGTCGACGACCGAGACCTTTCCGATCGGCTCGATTCATTGGCACTGCGAAGAGATGTTCCATCCCTTTGCATTTTCTTTCGCATCTACCACGGGGAGTGCTCTGAGGAATTGTTCGGATTAATCCCAGCCGCCAAATTTCACGAACGCATATTGCCGCAGAACTTCCGATACCATCCACACCATCTGGATGATTGGTGGTCCACCACTGTGCGATTAAGAAGATGTTTTCTTCCTCGCACGACTTCATTGTGGAATCGATTATCATCAGCGATTTTTCCTACTCACTAAAGAGCCTACTCCTTTTTAAAAGGCCGGCAACGCATCTGCGATTCCCCTGGTGTTGCAGTTGTTCATGGGCGGCGGTAGTCACTCACCATCAGGTGAGCCGCATGCTCGTTTGCCCCCTCTCCTATAAAAAAAAATACAAATAGCGTGGGATACGATGACATTGCTACAAAAATCTTCGTTTGAGATTAAGACTGTGTAAGGTGTGACAATCAGAATTATGTTCGGTTTTGTGCTATTATTAGTATAGCGGATTAGTTTATAATTCTGTATTTTTTACACGCCTACTAGTAAAATATGGCTGAACTTACTGCCTATATCACCATGTACTGTACCCATATTTACAAAATAAAATATCTTTATCTTCTTGTAAATCGCACAGTGGTGGACCACCAATCATCCAGATGGTATGGATGGTATCGCGAGTTTTGTCGCGATGTGCGATGTTAAAATTATTATACAGATAGATAAAAATATTGTGCGTCTAAAACTAATACATTTTAGTTGTACTTATATTTTCTGTCCTTTAAATAATTATTTTCTTATAGGAATATTCAATACTCCATATTATCATCCCGTGGGTGTCGTAAGAGGCGACAAAGGGAAAGAAATCAGGAGATGGGCAGCAGCGTCTTCCTAATAACGACTAAAAAAAACTGCGGTTGCCGTGGCAACTATGGCAAATATATAAGGCAATATATGGGGGAGGCCTGTTTTCAGCAGTGAAATTTAATGGGATGAAATAGTAACGGTATTGCCATTTACTTAGAGAATTTTAATCGAAGCTCGGCTTTATTTGAGATATGATTGAGAAGGACAATGAGGTTCAAAGGCCGCGTGGAGGCTTCTTAAAATAATTGATTATCACGTCGTCTTTCAGGTGTGGTAATAATAATTCAAGGTAGAGGCCTAAAAATCTGATGGTCTTCAATAATCATGCTATAATTTTCTGCTATAAATGTGCCATAGGTAATATGTCAAAGATAAAAGTGAGTAGTAAGAAAATAAAAGTAAAATTTTTCAGTATTTCTTGTAATCCGATAATTAAAAATACAATCATTGTCCACTACACGAAACACTGAGATCCCATGGGACGGTTAATACATAGATTTAAAAACATTAAGAATGTTAGTGGCATGGCGTTGGTACCGCAAATCTATTGAACTGGTTGACATTTCCATTTGAGTTTACAAGTTGATCAAAACAAAGTTTTTGTTTTATCTGTAACAAAAGAAAATAATATGAAGATAAGAAATCTATCATTCACATCCGTGTATGATACTACATTTAAACTTATGTTTGTTTACTATATGGATCTGAGTGAGACATGGTCCTTCTTCATTAGCCGTATTAGGACGCTCAAGGTCGCTCAGTGAGCTATTAGAAAAAGTTATGCTCGGAGTTTCCCTGCGTGTTAGATCTCATAATGAGGATATTCACATTCCACAATAGAACCAGAGTAACTGACATAGTCCAACGGGTCAGCGGTAAGCGGAATTAAATTAAAAAATACTCAAATCACCATTCTCGGAATATAAATATGGATTACATCCGTTGCGGAAAAAGTTCTGTTATTATAGTTAACAATAATCCTCCTTAATGGTTAAGGTGAAACGCTTCATTCTTCTTCATCTCTATCAGTCTACCATAATCCACCACTGGACGTAGACCTCTCCAACTGTAGTATCAAAACTGTTATAAAAACGGATATTGAAACAAAGGTATACACAAAAAGAGACGTTTACGAAGATGGGGTACTATTTTTTTTACTATACTTGTTACGATGGGCAACCAACTTGATATTTCTATTATCATCATCGATATATAATAAGTCTATGACTATATGTATGACCATTTTCATAAAAAGATGCTACTTTTTGTATTATTTTCCAAAACCCCTAATCTCCTTTACACAATTTACTGTATACTGTGCGCAGTGACAAACTAAACCAACTGTTTTATCGTGAGCTTCATTCTCGGGTATGTTAGTCGAGTGCATGAGTGAAACAGAAAATAGATCAGGCACGATGACTCCTTAGGATTAACGTAAAAAATTGAGACTATAATTTTTACTTGCTATATTAGATGTAATTTTAGATGACTTTATTACATCAGGTATTTTTGTGATTCTTTAATATGATTTTGTTTTATTTTTAATATTTATATTTATGAGTTAAAGTTTTATAGAAGGCTTGACATCCTACCGCAATGTCTTGCTTAGTGCATATAATATCAACGGCTGAGTGATAACTCTTTTTTATGTTCTACTTAACGAGTACTAATAAATGTCCTACTAAACTTTCTGAAAATCATTACAAAAGAACTCCTCCTTAAGTCGATCAAAATCGTTATTAAATTTTCCTTATTCGAATCACTCGGTCAGTGACGGTTTAATTTTAAACATGTGTATTAAAACAACTTATATTGTCATATTATATTTATTTTACTGCAATGTATTAACAATAGATTCATGTGAAAATTACAATACTTGTGATGAGTGCATCGGGGATCCGAAGACAAACTGCGTTTGGTGTGCCAAGGTCAATAATAAACCTAATTGCCGTTAAAGCTAGATAAAAATATAGAGATAAAAAATATTGTGCGTCTAATACTAATACATTTTAGTTACACTTATGTTTTCTGTCCTTTAAATAATTATTTTCTTATTGCCTTTTATATATAACCCGTGTAGTGACGTTATAAGGATATCCAATACTCCATATCATCCCGTGGGTGTCGTAAGAGGCGACAGAGGGAAACAAACCAGGAGATGGCCAGCGGCATCTTCCTAATAACGATTAAAAATAATAAACTGGGGTTTCTAACCTGCTTGCCAAGCGTAGCAACTATGGCAAATATTGCATATATACCCCCTATGAAGCAATCTATAGGTGAGGCTTATAAAGTGGTAGGTAGCTATAAGGGTAACGGTATAAAGCGTCAATATTCTATGCTAGGGTAAATTCAAAGTGACAATAAAGTGATTATGTTTTAAATGTAAAATTGATTTGAAATTAAACATGCTCTTTTTATAAAAATATATAGCCCATAATTAGTGTCAGGTTTATCGCTAAGCTAAGGCTGCATTTATCATGGATGCCAAACACCGAGCCCCACTCCATACACGTCACTCAGTTTCTACATTTTCAGAATCAAGCTCCAGCTCCCATTCTTGGGATCTGGAAATAAGGGTTAGGCCTGAATGAAGAGTTCGGCGGAGTGTGTGAATTTTCCATACAACTAGAGCACCTGAGCAGCGTCTGTTTGACACGAAACCACTTTGCACGCTTCTTTTCCTTGGAGGTTTTACACTGAGACCTTAGTCTAGGCCTACCAAAGTATGGTAGTAAATATATTGGGCACACCCAATTACCTAAATTTTTATGCAAACACGTTGTTGTTGACTGCATCCTAGCAGACCTACAATTTTATCGTATAACATAGGTAGGGTTGTCAACTCTTTTAAATATCAAATATAGTATTTTCGAAGCTAATTACTTGTAAAAGCATAAAAGATGGCAAAAAATATAAAAACATATATTATTCTTCAATTTAATATTATATTTTTAAAGGAATATGTTTCCTGCTTTGATTTGAAATTTTATTAACATCTTCACGCCATAGTCAGCCTTTTTAAATATATTATTCTCATTTAGATTATGTAATATAATATACTGTTGTAATATAATTCATCAAAATTAAAATAAATCCTATTATATTTTAATGAATATTAGATAGAAAAGTTGGCAACCCTAAATATAGGTCGTATATCGGACACGGCATGAGTAAGCGTGTTTACGCGTACATTATTTGTGGTTTTGGCACTCACAGACTTCCTATTCCAATAACCTTTGGAATTTATCGTCGTGGCGGAAATCTACCAGGATAATATCATCTTTTTAACAGATTTATTTGAGTTTATAAAGTTATTAAAACACAATAACTTTATATTATATATTTTAATTTATTGTTATTTCATTATTCCCTATGTTTTTTTTATAGGATCGTGTGACAAACGAGCACACAGTCCACCTGATGGTAAGTGGTTACTGTGACCCATAGACATCTACATCTATCCTCAATAAAGACTCAAGATGCAGATGCGTTGTCACCCGTGAGGACTAAGATGGAATGCCTCTTTGCCAGTAAAAAGGGTCTCCGGTTCTCTACACTCACCATACGAAACACAACAGCGTTAAGCTGCTATTTTACGGTGGTTTTCTGTGAGAGCGTGGTCCTTCCCCGTTCGAGCCGACCCATTCGTGCTACAACCATAATATAGCTGCAGCATGGCTCTACCACGTAGAAATAATTTTTTAAATAACTTTCATCCAAAAATAAATACTTACTGAATCCTCAATAGGATATCACTGAAAGTTGATAGGGACTGTATTAGGAAAAGAAATATTGTGTACTAGGTAAGCTATGATATGAAATAGTTTTTTTTTTTGAGAATATTATTTTTGTTTAACAGGAGGAATGGAGTGAACTTCGATGCAGATCAATATATCCCGGCAATTGGTGCTTAAACCATACGATAAATCCAAAAAATTCAGTTATAAAAACTGACGATAGATCTTTTAGTTCAGACTTAGGTAAAACCGTACAAATAAGACCTCAAGAATACAAAGTTGAATTGCGTATAGGACAGGAAATCAGCTTCAATTTTTCTTACGAAGCTGCAAAGGATTATCCTGTAGATATTTATTTTTTAATCGACGTTTCTTTGTCCATGGCCGATATAAAATCTAAGACAGCGAATAAAAGTGAAAATATTTATTTCGCTATAAGTAACTTGACAAGTAATGTATTTTTGGGCCTGGGTACTTTTGTTGATAAGAATGCAATACCCTTTAACACGTAAGTAAAACATATTTAGACCAACAAGTAGAAGGCTAAAATAAATATTCTATAAAATAAGGATTATTTTTTTTTAAGTATAGAATAGTCTGAATTATTTTCCAGGTTTTATAACAGCAGTTTGACGTATTCGTTTAAACATCATTTAAATTTCACAAGAAGTTATGAAAATTTTAAGAAAATTTTAAATGATGTCCCGTTGGGTCAAAATTATGATACACCCGAGGGAGGATTAGATGCTCTGGCGCAAGTCATGGTATGCAAGGAAGAACTAGGATGGCGAACACAGTCTAGAAAAATTGTTGTTTTACTCACAGATGCTACATACCATGCGGCCGGTGATGGGAGACTAGCTGGTATTGTAAAGCCTTACGATGGCAAATGTTACATGAAAAACAATGTTTATTCAAATGAATTATCAATGGATTATCCATCAGTTAGTATGATAGGAAAATTGGCAGCAGATGAACAAATCACAGTAGTATTTGCGGTAAAAAACAGCATGCAAAGTGTTTACACGAAACTTAGCAATTCTGTACGTAATTCGTGGAGCACCACATATGACAGTGCTGATATGGATGTAATTTTAAAAGAAATTTACGAGGTACTTACAAAACTTTATGCTACCAAAGATCACTCAGATATTAAGTACTTTTATTACTTAAAAAATCTGAGTATCATTTTGTAAGAAGTAACAAGCATATAATATAGCATAGGTATTTATAAATCATTGGACGCCCTGTTTTTGTACGTATATATTAATGTGAATATTTGCTTTTATCATAATCATTAGCATAATGGTATGCTGATGTCGGCCTTTTGAAGTTCATTGCAAAATAATATATGCCTTATCAAGAATGAGTCAGTAGGTATGCATGCCTTGAAAGTTTCTACACTCCCCACGCTGTACAACGGATTATTTAGCGTAGTGAGTCTTACGTGGTAGAGCCATTCTGCAGCTATATTATGGTTGTAGCGCGAATGAGTCGGCTCGACCGGGGTAGGACCACGTTCTCACAGAATACCAGCGTAAACTGCTGTTTTTCGTATGGTGGGTGTAAAGAACCGGAGTCCCTTTTGACTGGATGCGAGGCATTCCATCTTAGTCCTCACGGGTAACAACGCATCTGAATTTTGATTCTTAATTGAGTATAAATGTAGATGTATATGGGCCACACACTCATCATCAGGTGAACTGTGTGTTCGCTTATCACTCTTATTCTATATAAAAAAAAACTCTTGCACTGGTTGATTCACACCAACAGTAGCAGTATTGCATTGGGGTCATTTTTGAGTGTATTTTCTGACATCATTCACCACACGCTACAGTTTAGTATAGTAAGTCTCCTTCGTAAATTAATAAGGTTTAAAGTGCAAAAGGGAATTCAGCCTAAGGCCGCGTTCCGACGACACGCACCCGCTACGTGCACGCCACGCGCGTTCTTTATAATTGAGTCTTATGGCAAATCAATAAATCTGAAACTAATATAATAATTAAAATAATTAATGAATAGTGGCAGCGAAAGGGAATCCACTTCCTATCCACTGAAACAGGAGATAGACAGCAGTATCTTTCTTATAACAACAAAATATAAATGATTACGTCTACGTCCGGCCGTAGATTTTGATCTGTAATATAAGGTGCGAGATGTCTAGTACCACGATCGCCAATACTATTGCCAAGAGTGGCGGCTAAGACCGATAACTACTACCTATTATGGTAGAATTGAGAATGTCCAGCAGTAGACTACTATTGGTTGATAAAGAAGAATTTATTTCTTCAAAAATGTTATTACTTTGTTTTGTAAAATTTATTCGATGTGTTGCAGGAAATAACACAAAGCATAAAATTAGATATAAGATCCCCATATCGAAAAAAAATTGACATAAACTTTATTCCTGACTGTCTTGAAGAACGAAATGATGAGTGTAATGTAAAAACAGGACAACAAACTAATTTTACTGGGACACTCAAATTATTAGATTATATAGAAGCAGACAACTTTTTAGTTGATGTTCTGATTGGAGGTGTTAAAGAGAATTTAAAACTTAATATTGATGTAATTAAGAAATGCGACTGTGTAACTGATGTAAGTTCAATAAAATGTAACGCATTTGGTAATCGAAGATGTGGTATCTGTGAATGTAACCCTGGCAGGTGAGATAGTTGGAATAGCTTATTTTATAATCTGCTTTAGCTTACATAAATATTGACAAACTTTAAAATTATCAAACTAAGTATTTAGACTTGTGAGAAATGACGATTCCGAATAGTGTATAAATAGAAGGATAAATAGATTTGTCTATTTTAGAAGTAAAATAAAATGTTACTAGTGCAGCAGTAAGATAAGATCATGGCAGACTGAAATAGACAAAATTATCCATACTATTTTTGAGTCCATGCGTCCTAGTCAACTAAGTTATCTTTGAAAATAAAAGGGTAGTGAATAATAATTCCACTTAAAGTAGAAAATATTTTTAGATACGGTGATAAATGTGAATGTACGGCCACAAGCAGCAGCCGTATGAGCGACAACAGTTCTTGCATTGCTCCAGGCCATACAGAGCTTTGCAGCGGTCACGGGTTCTGTCATTGTGGCAGCTGTCATTGCAGAGAACGGTAAACAATTACGTACATAATATAAACTTTAACAAAAACTAAGGACTGCGGGCTTACTCCCAAAATTGTTTTCTAATTCGATTAGGTTTTCAGTTCAAATTTTTTTAAACTGATTTCAAAGACTTACTCCCGAACCTATTCGAATCGAGCAACACGCATCAACGTTATCAACAGCGTAAGACATATCATTCTTTGATTCGGCGATCATTTTTAACCATCATCATTATTACAGCGCTTCACAAGTTCACTGCTGTACATAGAACTTCCCCCAAGGAATGCCACAAAGCACAGTCCTGAGTCACCTGCATCCATTGACTTTCTGCATATCTTACCAGGTCTTCACTCCATCGAGCGGGGGGATGCGCTACACTTCACCTACCTACAAGGTTGCCACGCGGGAACCTTTCTTCCCCATCGGTAGTCGGTTCTTCGAGCTATATAGAGCCGTTAGTTTGGACATAGCGAAGGCCTTCGATCAGGTCTGGCACAAAGCTTCTTTCGAAGCTACCTTCCTATGGGCTTCCCGAGAAATTGTGCAAATGGTTCACCAGTTTCCTTGTTGATCGGAGCATCAAGGTCGTAGTAGACGGTGCATTCTCTAATTTCAAACCTATCAACGCTGGTGTTCCACAAGGCTGCGTGTATCACCAACGCTGTTTCTCTTGCATATCAATGATATGTTGCAAACTGGTAACATTCATTGTTATGCCGACGACAGCACTGGTGATGCCTTATACACCGGCCGTGCCAATATTTCTCGGGAAAACGTCGCCAAGTACCGGGACAAACTTGTCTGAAATCGAGTCTTTGCTGAACAAAGTCTCGGATTGGGGGCGACTAAATCTAGTCCAGTTCAATCCCCAGAAGACTCAAGTTTGCGCGTTTACAGCTAAAAAGGACCCCTTTGTCGTGTCTCCTAAGTTTCAAGGCACTCTCCTTGCTGCCTCAGTTAGCATCGGAATCCTCGGCGTCGACATATCGAAGATAGAGCGCAGTTTCGTGATAGAGAAAAGTGTGCAGTTTCGTGGTCACTTGGAAGGGAAGGCCAAATTTTCCTCTTAAAAGCTTGGCGTGCTCAGTAGAGCGAGACAGTATTTCATGCCGGCACATCGCTTGCAACTTTACAAAGCGCAAGTTCGGCCTGACATGGAATACTGTTCTCATCTCTGGGTCGGGGCAGCCCAGTGCCAGCTCCTTCCACCTGACCGCATCCAGCGCAGAGCGGTTCGAATCGTCGACGACCGAGTTCTTTCTGATCGGCTCGATACACTGGCACTGCGTAGGGATGTTGCATCCCTTTGCATTTTCTATTGAATTTACCACGGGGAGTGCTCTGAGGAATCGTTCGAATTCCAGCCGCCAAATTCATGAACGCACATCGTGTCAAAATTCATGATACCATCCTCACCATCTGGATGCTTGGCGGTCCACGACTGTGCGTTTTACTAGGAGTTTTCTTCCTCGTACAACTTCTCTGTGGAATTGTTTACCACCGGCGATTTTTCCGGACCGATACGACTTAAGGACCTTCAAGAAAAGAGCTTACACCTTTCTTAAAGGCCGGCAACGCATCTGCAATTCCCCTGGTGTTGCGGTTGTTCATGGGCGGCGGTAGTCACTTACCATCAGGTGAGCCGCTCGTTTGCCCTCTTTTCTATAAAAAAAAATATGGCTGGCCCATTGCCACTTCAGTTTACTAATCCATAAACCGACATAGTCCAACTGATAATTTTTAATAAATTTAAAATTTTCTACTTTTAAATATTTCGTTACGTATAAATAGAACAAACCTTTCAAGGAAAAATGTTCTCATCATATGTGATTAAAAGCGCCATCTAGTAGCAGACAATTGAGGACCTTCGTTCTGATAATTCCAATGAGGGTTAATAATCTTCTGCTCATCAGATGTCGCTAGTTGACACTGAGGTGATGTTGTTTTGTCACACAATGTCATTTAATTGAGAATTTAGTTTTAAATAAAAGTTTATCGGTTTCTAGAGTATATCAATACACAAAATGCCTCAGTGGTTTGCTCATAAATTTTTTGTACATTTTAACTCTATATATTTTTTCTACTTTTATGAATATCTGTGCTTTGTTTTATTTATTTTTAATTATAATATAACATATAAGTCAGAACAAAAAACATTAATCTTTACATTTTTTAAACAAATTAACTTTGCTCCCCGCTATGAAATATGTCAAGTAATAAACCAAACTGCCTTTTATATCTATTATATGATATTATTATTATATTCTATGTTATGATCAGTCAAATATATTCGCTGAGTGAAAATTGTGCCACCTTTGATTGAACGCCTGAAACTAAATTGTTCCCTAGCTATAATGGTCGCTACTGCGAATGCAATCAGAATAGTTGTACACTGGACGCCAGTGGCGCCCCCTGTAACGGCCGTGGAAACTGCTTATGTGGAGTATGCACGTGTACATCAAACGACTGGTACGGCGCTGCTTGCGAATGCTACAAACCTAAGACGCCTTGCATCACAGATGATGGTAAAGTGAGTGTTAGAATAATGTTTCTTTAAAATTATCAGTCCACATTTATTTCTTGTTATTAATTTTGGTCAATAATATATTCAAACCAACATATATTCACATTTATATTATTGTGTAGAGACGGTGTAAGACATTCTATTAACGCATTTCATCCCGTGGGCGTCATGAGAGGCAACAGAAGAAAATAAAACAAGATATGGCTGCCCATTTGCTGTCAACATCTTTCTTATAAGAACTCAAAATAAAAAGATACTGCAGTTGCCAACCCGCCAGCCAAGTGTGACATCAATAGCATAATTATCTCCCTTGAGAACCAATCTAGTTCAGCAGTGATTTTCGATAGGCTGTAGTTGATAAGATAATTTAGTGGTAGAGCCATGCTGCAGCTATATCAGTAGTATAGTTGTAGCACGAATGGGTCGGCTCGACCGGGTAAGAACCACGCTCTCACAGAATACCAGCGTAAAATAGCAGCTTAAAACTGCTGTGTTTCGTATGGCGAGTGTAGAGAACCAGAGACCCTTTTTGCTGGAAAAGAGGCATTCCATCTTAGTCTTCACGGGTGACAACGCATCTGCATTTGTGGATAGATGTAGATGTCTATGGGCCACAGCAAACACTTACCCCCAGATGGACTGTGTGCTCATTTCTTACCCTATCCTATAAAAAAAAAAGATTATTAAAATGTATTATATGTTATTATTTAAAATAATCAGCAATCACTTTACATTTAGTTTAGTTTCTACAGTCTGCAGTAAAATAAATTTAGTTAGCTTCTGACCGCAGTATTGAACTGAACTAATATTTGTAAAAAAATATCCGTATCATTTAAAAATATCTTTATAGTATTTATTGATTTGCCTTATTCATTTGTCTCAAATTGCCTTCCTATAATTTTAATAAAGCATGCCATGCTATATTTGTAAGTTACCTGATGATGTTGCTTTAATCATGCACCACTCAAAATGGTGATAGTTGAAGGGTGATGGTGGTAGATTTACACTTTGATAGAATATTTCAATGAGGTTAAAGTGAATAAAATATTTTTTGAGTTGATTTTAACTTTGAATTGTAGCAAATCAAAAAAAAAATCATTTACTATTTTCAGTTATGTAACAACCGCGGTAGATGTGAATGCGGTGAATGCAAGTGTGAGCCAATCGCCCAATGGGACGCAAGATATTATCAGGATCAATTCTGCAGGATCACGCCCTGTCCTGATTGTCACAGCCGTCAGTGTAACATGCTGGAGAACTGTGCTAAATGTCATCACACTGGCAACACAAATTGTTCAGACTGCGACACCATTATCAGAGTCAATGTAACGCGAACGCTGGGCGAATTTAACATAACCGATAGCAAATGGAACGTTTGTTATTTCGAGACCAATGGTATTTGCTACTCACGTTTCATGTATAGGTATGACGACGATAACTATAGCATTGAAATGTACGTGCAAACGGATATTGATTGTGCCGAAAGTTATTACAGTAAGTACGACTTTAGTAAGGTTACTAAACGCTATTCCAAATCCTTCTATCGTGCAGACTGTTCTAATTTTTTTTCTCTTTACTAATTTCTTTTGAAAACATTACTAACATGCTAAGAATAGCTCCAGCTTTTCACTATTTTATTAGCGTCGACTTAAGAGAATATATTACCTCCCCGTTTCTTCCCGTGGGTGTTGTACCGTGACTATGGGATATGCTAGAATGGTCTTATAGCTTCTGATGAATGGCGGTTGAGTCGTCCCGTTTACGCCAAGTGTAAAATAACCAAACCACCGACGGGGGCACTTCAAGTGTACGATCTTGCTAACAGTGACGAAGTCAAATTCTCCCTACAGTGAGTAAGGCCCATGTCGAGCAGGGGACTTTTACGAGTTTAATAATAAGTAAAAAAATATTTGTGACTAGAGATCCGCCCCGGCTTCGCACGGGTAATTTCTAGATCTCAACAACAGCTCCACCGGGTCCAATTATGAATCTAAACCATCTAGGGACCCACTCAAACACACACAAAAAATTTCAACAGAATCGGTCGAGCCAGTTTCGAGTTTTAGAGAGACTAACGGACAGCAATTGATTTTAATATATATAGAGATTTCTACATATACTTTTTTCGTGCGGGAATCGTACCCTCAACCCAAACGCCAAAATTAAATGCTAATATAATATAATACATACTTAAAATAATCTATCGCCCTAAGCAGTGAGGGAACATCCGAGATGCGAGGGATCTAATACTGATCGTGATGATTACGTTTGGGAGTGGGTCGTCATCGTCATCATCACTTTTTTGGGCTTACTCATGAATCCATTTCTAAAAAGAATTGCCAAGCTCAGCGTACAGAGCTCAGAGAACAGCGGTTGATGGGTATACATCGAAAACCTGCGCAGTGGTAATGCTTCAATAAATTACCAGTCCTTTTCGGTGTTGCATCATGGATTTTGCCGCCTACGTTGATAGTCAGCTAGCAGACATACAAGTAATGGTGACATTGAGTGAAATTTGGGTATATTTCCTCTTACACCAACTACGAGATATTAATTGTGAAAGCTAGATTGAGTTGTTCTTATTTTTTAATATTTTTAACCTAAAATCTAGTACACGCGTAGTTTTTTTAAATTTATTAAGCATAATTATGTTACATTAACCAGTACTATACTAGCATATAAACCTCTAGGGGTTTATCTACGCTAGAGAGTCGTCTTATAGAAACAAAGATGTATTAATATTAAATCACAATAATCCAGTATGAAGTACTTATACTACAATAAGTATGGTTGATTTATCAAATATGATTTAAGTTTACTTTTAAACAGTTTTTATTTGCCGTATGTGTTTTGTAATTCTAGTGGCAAGGCATTAATAAAAGTAGGTACAAGATGGGCCAATTTTCTTGCTCCATAGAAATTTTTAGTTTTCGGAAGTACATACATGTTGAATTTATAAGCTATATTTCGTAGAGTTACAGGTCGTTTTCTAAGAACTAGGTATTCTGAATTATTTACTTCAGTCAGTATATTAAATTTAACTTTATTGAAAACACTACTAGGTCGTAGGTACTTCATTTCTGCCTAGGAGTCCTGGGTAGGTACCACACTCTTTATACCACCTATGTATGCCGCCAAACATCAGTGATTCTACTTTAATGTTCCGATCTGAAGGTTATAGAGAGTTGGTATGATTACAGGTTGTCAAACATTCAACCTTAGTCTTCAGAGGTAACAACGCGTCTGTCGCCTATCTTGTTTGAAGTTGATTGCTGCTGTCAATGAGCTGCTGTAGCTACTTACCATCAGGTGGTCTGTAACATTTTTTAGTCATTTCAGTTTTATAAAAAAATATGATAAAACAAAATAGACAATCATAAGTTTGGCAGAATTTTATATGTAGTTCATTATTAATGTGTGCTGTCTTAGAGTATCAATCATGCAAGTACGTTCAGTGGGTCCCATAAAAGAGGACTTAGAGTAAGAGGCCAGGCACACTCGTGAATCACGATAGATGGCGGTATAACCATTTATATAATGATATTAAGTATACACAGTCCATTGATGCAGATAAAGTTTTTTTTTTTAAATATTTTTAATAAATTTGTAAAAAGGACATAGAATGATAGAAGTATATATGTATATCCTATGTAAAGTACAAATAATTATGATAAAAACGTTGCCAAATCTTGTTAGCTTCTAAAATAAACCAAAATGATACCAAATATAAAAAAATAAACCTTATTTAATAATTTCAGTGTTCGGTGGCTTATTTTTGATTGCGCTCATATTAATTGGGATAGCCACATTGGTCGCCTGGAAACTTTTAACGGACGCCAGGGATCGACGCGAATACGAGCTGTTCCAGAAACAGCGTGCAGAAGATATGTCAGAGACGCGAAGAAATCCTTACTTCAAACCCCCTACAATGACATTCGCTAATCCTGTATTTAGAAAAAGATCTACCAATCAACTTAAATTGTAATTCTATTTTTTATTTATAAAAAAGAAACTCTGAAGGATGATTTATACATATTAAGTATAGTATATTGGTAGTCCAGTCATATCTGTCGCAGAAGTAACAACCGGTGGAGTGGTGGGTGAAAAAATTACAATTGTCTGAAATACTAATACGACTGATTTAATCGCGGAAAAGGCTGATTTGAGGACGTAATTTCAATTTACCCACGTTGCTGTATATATGCCTCCCCATTTACTGCAAGTAAATTATAGTAAAATTGATATGTAAACCACTTTGTATTTTTTTTTCAAAATACAAAGTAATCTCTCTCAAAGTAATCTCCACTCCATAACATATCCAATGTTATGTAGTGGAGACAGCATCTAGGCAAACGTAGTATAAGGCGACCCCTAACCAGATGGAGCGCCAATCTGCGCAAGGTGGCTGGTAGAAACTGGATGCGTGCAGCCGAAGACCGGGCTAAGTGGCACGCCTTGGAAGAGGCCTATATTCAGCAATGGACTGCTGCATGATAATGATGATGATAAATTAGTTAAGTGATTAATTAAATTTTAAATTAATTTTCAACTTTATATTTGTTTAGCGCCTTAGTTCTTCCTAGATGAACAACTAACAGCACATTCCTGTCAAAAAATTATTGATTAAATTCGTATTAAGATTTTGGATGAAATAAAGTATGAAATTGTCGGGGAAGAGAAAATATCGAGAAAATAAATATAGAAGATCAATATGGCACAAGTGCAATTATGTTTCATAAACTAGCAGGAGAAGATAAAAGAGTATTTCTCTATACTAAGGCTATCAGAAGAATCCTTTAACTACTTGTTTTCTAAAGTTGAACATAAGATAACCGACTAGAGATACTGTAATGCAATGTGCATTAGAATCAAAATTAAAATTATATATTGTGTAATATTTTGCCGCTACTGGAAACAGTTTTTTTTTTCTTTATGTATTCTTTATGGAGTGTAGAGAGAAGGAGGACCATCTCTATATAATGAAAAGTGTCCCTAAAAACGTGTCCAATAAGGGTGGCGCTGCAGTAGCATAGGATAAATTAAAAAAAAGCGCCAAAAGCAATAAGAATAAAATGGAGAAATAAACAAGGACTGACCAATCCGCTTGGTTTTGTACTACGTAAATAGTTGAGATTTTGTATACTGGCATTTTACTAACTACTCTAACCATGAAATTTTTTAAATATTTGAATTCAGCTGACTTCACTCCGTTCAGAACAGTTATCTTCATATCGTAGTTTTTCAGACGCCAGCGCTGTTGTGGTAGGTTTTGGAACCTCTATTTTCAGTAAATAGTAGGACACTTTTTCAACTTTCGCTCCTTATAAGATGATTCTCCTTGTACTCTACACTCCATAGTATTCTTGAACAAACTTCACTGCAGTATCATAGTATGTAGGTAATATTTAAAAAATCTTCATACACTACAGTAATTCCGAACGTGATGCTCCGTAAGTAAATCATGCACTCTTATTTCTTAATGTGTCAAATTATTAAAAATATGTTCGACTTGTTTCCTTGCACTCTCAATTTTAACTTGCAACTTATTACTAAATTCATTGTTTACATGCATTTAGACACTTAAAATTAAGTTAAAATGTACTTAATAACTTGATTACTTAATACGTGTAAATCAGCCATAAAAACATATTTGAATGAAATGAGAATTTCGACTTTTTGTAATCGTATTACATTTAAATAAAGATGATTAATCACAAACATCAGCGATAAAATGCTCTTTAATCCCTGTGAAAAAGTCTTAGCAATCAGTTTTGTTAACATAACGTAAGTGCATTTTTTGTTATAAATTAAGGTGTGAAAATAATCTATATAACTATATTGCATGTCATTCCGTGAGTATGGTAAGGAAGTGCACAAAAATACGCCTGACAAGCGTAGCAACTATGGCAAATATATTTTATATAGAATAAGGGTGACAAACGAGCACACAGTCCAACTAACAGTAAGTGGATACTGTGGCTAATAGACATCTACATCTATCCTCGATTAAGAATCAATAGCAGATGTATCATCACCCTTGATGACTATGATGGAATGCCACATTTCCAGTAAAATGGGTATCAGGTTCTCTATACTCACCATACGCAACACAGCAGTTTAAGTAGATGTGTAGGTTTCGTATAGTGAGTGTAGAGAACTAATTTATTATTTAAATATGGGGTAGGCCCATAGATAATTAAATAATCTATTTATTTTGTTCAACAGTGGACTTTGATAGGCTGTAATTCACTCCATCACCAATCTCTAAAATTTGTGTTCAGCGAGTTTATATAAATTTCCCGTCATCAACTGGTAAACCAGAGCCTTATTCGCTAGTCAACAGGTTACACTGTGTGGAATTGAGATTGGCACTAGGAGAAACCACGGATCTCGCATGATTACTGGAAATTTATTCCCAATGGACTTAATAGTAAGAGCACTCGGAAATTTCATCCTAAGTCCACTGGGAAGAAATATCTCAGTAGCCATTTCCGTTTCTCTACTCAAGAGGTCATACTCTATTATGTAAACGGTAAGTACTTTTCAACAATACCAACTGAAGTAATCGGTTTAACTTTAATATTTTTTGTGACATTGATAGACAACAACACCACAACAATACCTAAAAGGCAAGCCAAGTCATGAGCTTGAAAGGTACTGTGTTATAGAGAGCAATGCCAGCAGTTATCTAGGCTATATTTTATATAAAAATCTAGGAATTAAAAAAAATAATGTATCACATGGCTCTACCACGTATAAATATATATATATATATATATATATATATATATATATATATATATATATATATATTTATACGTGGTGGAGCCATGCTGCAGCTATATTATGTTTGTAGCACGATCGACCCATTCGTGCTAAAACTATACCAGTAATATAGCTGCAGAAGGGCTCTACCACGTATATAGAAACAAATAATTCCTTTAAAATTGTTCATTATACAATTGTACAAAATAAATCACGCTGCCCAGAGTTAGAAGCTAGAACAAAGTTAACTGAAGTTGCACATTGCAAAAAAAATCGAAAAATTTAAGTTTACACATAATGTTTACAAAATAAACTGGTGCATTAATGTTTACCGAGTGTACGGCTCGGTGGTTGGACATGGCTCTGATAACCAACTGATGGCAAAAAATCCACCCAAACTTACTGAACATAAATTTACCGATTGATGACGGAAAGCAGTTTAAAAGTGCCAGGGTATCAGCTCTGCGCTCACTAAATAGTGTGGAGAGTACGGACAAATCAACTAGGCGCATCCTTGAAAACGCCTATGTGAAAATGTTGATGTTATTTTTGTTTGTATGAATGTACGTATATTTTACTTTGTATTTGTCGAGGCATATGTAAACTACTGAAGCGTAAAAAGTTTCTCGAATTTTCTCGCATGCAGAATCTTAAAAAATCAAAGGAGTAACATAGACTATATTCATAATTAATAATACAATCGCAATGGAACGTCCGCAAAAAATAATAGATGGCACTGGTTTGCAGTACATTTTGACTAGCGTATTAATTTGATTAGTGACCTAACCTAGTAATAAATCATGTTTTATGATATTATCATTAAAATGTGATCTATTATTAGGTTAGGTTATATCCTTAAAGGATAGTGGATATTTTTTGGATTATACAAGAAACATTTTTAAAAAATTAATTAAAAATTTGACCTAATTTATAAGTTATTACAGATTTTTATGATATTTTCAGATCTTTCTTAGCAGTAGACAGCAATTTTGAAGTTTTACATCATCATCAGCCATTGTCATGCAATTCCCGAATTAAGTTTTGCTTTACGAATTATATTATAGTATATAGTTTAGTACTAGCGACTCGCCCCGGCTTCGCCTAAGGGTTTATTGTGGAGCTAATAATATTTAAAATAATAATTAAAGATCACACATTTCATAAATTTATCGATTTCCCGAAAAAAAAGTCTCCAAGTTTTCGGATCAAAAATATATAGCCTAATTGACTCTTGATATCTCTCAGTCGTTCCGAAGATTAGCCCGGACAGCCAGGCAGACAGAAAAAAAATTTAACTTATGTCTTAATGGGCTTAAGCGCTTAGCGGTCAGCCACCGCAGAGTCTAGATTACCTGAAGATGTCTCGTGTAGAGGCGAAACACGTGTCGTATTGTCGTTAGTGGTGTCTTTATATTTTTTTATTTAAAAACCTTATTGCGTCCCTTTAGAAAAAAAGAATAAAAAGAGCGGACATAATGCCTCAAGGCATTCTCTACCAGTCAACTCATGGAGTGAAGACAGTTTGTCGTAGGCGTAGCAATAAAAAGAAAAATAGAGTCAAACTAAAATTAATACACATTATACCTAGTCAGGTCATAAATTCTGTCACATGTTTAATATAAAATAATTGAAACAAGTTTATTCATTATGTAACCATTTATATACCAAAATGAATTTAACTAAACATAGATTCTTATGACACAGGCCTTCAATCCGCGCGGCCAGTCGTCTATCGCAGCACGAACGAGGTCCATGTCAATATCGGCGGCTGCCTTAATCAAGGATGTCTTGAGTGACTCCAAATTGGGATGAGGCTTTGAGCACGCCTTTTCCTCCAAGTGTTGTCATATCTTGTAATCTAACGGATTCAAATCTGGACTAGAGGAGGGCCAGTCTTCGTGCCGGATGAAGTCGATTTCACGCGCCGCCAGCCAGTCTTGTGTGCTCTTCGCTGTATGAGCTGGCGCCGAATCTTGTTGGAATACCCAGTGCATGTTATTGAACATGGTATGAGAAACAGGTTCCACAAGGTTCGTCAGGACTGTATTTTGATACACAACTGCCTTTCTCACAAAAATGTACCTCTGTTAAGCCCCAATAAGAAACTCCCAACCATACCATGAGCGGGGATGGAAAATGACCTCGTTGGACACGCGGAATACGGTTGCTCGCTTCTTCACTACTATGTGCGTACACCTTATCATTTTGTTTGTTGTAGCT